TAATATACTAAATAAGTTAAGAAATATAAGAACTATGTAATATATTTATGATTACACGTGAATACTAATATATATATATATGTAAATAAGTAGTATATATAGATAATAAATCAAGTTAACCTAGAAACTATTTGAAATTATATGAAAATGTTTTCTTTTAGTTTATTATAATATTAAACACCAAAGAAAAAAACATAATAGAAAACAAACAATAAACAAGAAATATGTAATGAGTACAGAATGTGAAAAAGAAACGTTTTCCGCACCACCACCCCCCCCCCCGTTATATGATGGAATAAATATTTACATACATTTAACTTGTTCGATTAAAACAAAAAATTTGTAAGGAATAATTTAGGTTTATAGTTGGGCTTTTTTTAATATTTTTCTCATGAATTAATGTTCATTATAAAGCTTGAGAATAAAGATGAGCATTGTTTCTTTTTTTATAGCTAATTTGTGTCTCTACAGATATGTATGCTGATTATACCATCAAAGACTTAATTCAACATCTTCATAGGCATAGCTTGTAAATAATTTCACTGGTTAAAATCATGAGTCAATTGAAGCTAGACCACCATGGAAAACCTGGAAGCACTGGACGGCCGTTTCGTCCTGGTATGGGACTCCTCAGAAGTACGCACCCACGGTTCCACCCCCCGCGATGCTTAACTTCAACCAATCCACGAAATTTGAACCCAGGACCTATTAGTCTCGCACCTGGCGCTTAACCAACTAGACCACTGAGTCGACCGGCATCAAACGGTGCTAATGCCTAACTTCAACCAATTCACGAAATTGCACCACCGTCCACCATTGTCTTTGGTGAGTTACTATCTCACAACAAACCCGGTTGATTTTCACTGTTCACGGCTTCTCACTAGAACTCCATGAAAATACATCTCGGAGACAGTCACTAGAACAAAACGGCTGTTCAGTGCTTCCAGGTTTTCCATGATAATTTAACTTTAATCAACTGATGGATTCAACTATTAAAAATTGTACTCTCATGTTAGTTTTCTCGATGTAGTTAATTATTGGCTATCTGAAAATACAACAGATATTTTCATTAACACAAGGAGTGAACGTTTTTTTTATTGTGATATCTATCAGTCTTCAAAACTTTCTCAGAGATGATTTACTTACTTGAAAGCTACTGTTTCCTTTGATTTGGATACTTGATTAACAATAATCAACATTCAACGAACTAACTGATATCCTTTTCTATGCGACTGCACAAAATGTATTTAGTTTATAAAATATCTAATTTTCTCAACTTAAGTTTCTATATCTTTTAACCATTATAATATAGAATGCTTTAAATCTATTAAAATCAAACGTATGTTATGGATATACAATCCACTAGGTGGTCAGTTTGTCTTAATTAACTCACAGTCTGGTAAAGATGTAAGTTAACTCATGTAGCCGTATCACAACACAATGATAAAATGAATAGAAATATGCAGTAGGAATGCTAATTAGAAAAACTAAATATCGAGAATATTGTTTAAAAAGACAAAGGGAAAAGAGTAATATGTGGGAATACTAGAAATTTAAGATCGATAGGAAGATAAAGAGTGAATACACTCACACAGTTACGAACGGTTCTGAACCATTTCATCTAAAACCTTCAAAACCTGATTCATTTATGACATTAACCACATTCAAGTAGTATGGATCTACTAACATGATATAGATTCATATTCAATAAGTTTATAGACTTATGATATTTCGTGAATTCATCAGCTCCAGATTACTTTTAATCTACTTTTATATTAAATAACTTCATTAATCCTCAAATTTGACTTCCCATTGAGTTCAATATTTGAAAATGGATAATCATGTTAGCTCATAGAATTTCCACTTAATAATCTATAAGCTTAACATTATTTCAATCCTTGTTTCTAATTTTAAAAAATAAGATATTTTTTCGTTTGTTCGATTTATATTACTTAATAAAATTGTATATATATTATGTAATTCTTTCTGTAATACTTCAATTCAATTACATAACAGATTACTACTAATAAAATTATTAGTAGTATCCATTTTACTATTTAAATTAAGAAATGTTATTTTGAATAACTGACTGAATTATATTGTAATGTTAGCATTTTCATTATATATATATATTCTTTTTAGAAGTTTATTTGAGTGAAGTAGGGAACAATCTTTATACCTCTTCATTATCAATGCCAATTATTATGATTATGATTACCATTACTGTTATTACCATTAGTGTTCTAGTTTGATTTGAATACCTTGTAATAGAAAGAAATGTAAACTTTACATTTGAAAGTTATTTATATATATTTTTGTTTCCACAAAAATGGCTTTTTATGTGTATGATTATTTATTTATCGGTTAAATTTATTTATAAATTTCAAATGTATAAATGGTCATAAATCGATTTAGTTATATACATAGATACATGTGTCAGTATCTATGCACGTGTGTGTGTGTTCTTGTGTTCTTACTGATTACGCAACTAGGATAATCAGTAAAAAAAAGGGGGAAAAGAAAGAAAAAAGTATTCTAATGAGGGCAGTATTATGAATATTAGTGATTTGATTAATGTAAGGTAAGTAAACATTGAAAATATATCATGTCCAATATGGGTTTATAGATGCATAAAATAGAGAAAGGTTATAAAATTTTGGGAAGAAATTAGAGTTAAATGATGCAAAGCTCCAAATCATGCTGTCAAAATATGTTGAGATTATTATGTACTTGAAGGAAATGAGAGGGATGTTTAAGGTAGAGTGAGCATACTAAAGGTAACGGTTACATTACAATTTGGTCGATTATATCTCCTAGTATTTGACAAGATGGCAGTGATTTCTGTTTGATGACCAATTAACAAATCCAGGTAGACAATTAAATGCCAATAAGCTTAAAAGTAAAGTGGCTGATCAGTTTTTATTGAAAGTAGTTGTTAACTGATTCATTTGTATTGGTTATATGCATCTTCTCATTGATATTTAGCACTGTAATCAGTTATTCTGTATTAGCACGTGTGAGGATTATTTCAATATTGCCGTTAAGTCACAAACTTTAGTAAAAAAATTCGGATGATGACTAACTGAATAACTTCGTCATATTTGAAGCAAAAGGTATTGAGTTCGAATTCTCAAATGAACATCAACTCTGAGATGCAGATTCATCCACCCGACGAGTCCACAAAAAGAAGAAACGCGTTTTCTGGACTTCACTGCTAATCATCAACCAAATCTACTTATGATAGTTGCTGATAAATGTTTGTAAGGGCTTATAATAGTTATTATTATAAACATACAACCCGTTACCGATAATTTATCTCAATATTTGCTACACACTGAATCAAATCTATTTAACTATTCCTTATATCTGTAACTGTACAATTTTCATCTGATAAAATCCACAGATAGTTGACGAAAATGAAGAACAATCCAGTTAAACCATTAAATTCAAAGAATGCAACAACCCTAAAGTATTCACCTGAAATAAAGATCCTAATTATCATTCCCAGTAAGAATGTTTCACTAAGTAGTCAATTTATATATGGCTTTACAATTATAGCTTAAAAACCTAGTGACTTAAGGCTATATCAAGGCATTCCACATAGGATGCACATATAACAACAAGAGACTGATCAATTGCAGTCCTAAACAACAATGCGAAGATACAACTAAAACAACATCAAGTGCATCTCTACTCTACTGGTTGTAATAAAGTAAGTATTTTAACTTAAATTGACTATATGCTCATAAATGTGATCGACAGTAAATATTTTCTTTCATATATGAAGAACATAAACATGAAGAAAAATAAACATTTGTTATCCTATCCTCAATGTTGAAAATTAACATCCTTACAAATAAATCAGATTTGATGTCTATTTCAAAGAGAACGATTTTTCATATAACTAAGGCTTTAAAAAAATCTCATTGTTCACTGAACAACTATGTTATACAACACTATAAACACATGGGTTGAGATTGTTTCTATGATTCGTCCCAAATAACTGTCAAGTAATATAGGAAAAGGTTATCAACCATCACCTTTCATCTCCTTAGTGAGATTTTATTTGTTTTGGTAAACATGTAAATGTTATCTTGTTTTACACACCAATTATAAATTGTGTTTGTGTGTGAACATATATGCGTAGTGAAGAATAATCGTAGGTTGCAAACAGAGATGATAAGATATATTAGAGAATAAATTATAATCATCACTGTGATAACAGTAAAGTCAATTTTGTTTTTATTTGAGAAACTGACTAGTTTACACATACCAAAACCTCTGATTTTCTAGGTTCACATCAAGGACAGACAACCATTAAAATGTAGGTAGCATTAGATAGCTACATTGTTCTACTATGGAATTTCTCAGCAGTATACATAAGTGACGTCTCCAGGAACCAAACACACTCCCGTTAAGTCTCGAGGTGAGTACTCAAACTTTAGACTACTGAGTTAACATATGTCCAACCTTAATCCATTCGCGTAGTTGTACAGTGGTCATTTTTTGTTACCTTTATTGGTGTCTGTCGCATAACTGACATAGTCATAGCTTCTCATTGAAACTTTTGAGATTATCTACTGAAATAAGTTAATAGTAGACAGAAAATGGTGCTTGAAAATGAGCAACATGTATAAACACCAACAAACCAATGAATACATAAAAATGAGGTACAAATTTATAAAAAATACAAAGAAATAAATAATGAGCAACTAAATGTTGCTCAGTGAGTTACTATTTTTTTCACAATGACAGAATTACAATTTTCAATCTAAAATATACATCGATCAAAATATGACATGGAATACTTAAAAGAATGGAAAAACCTTTCAAACACGCATATAATTACATACATTCGCCACATCATACTCACACATACAAACATCAAAGATAACACTAAACATTAAAAAAAAAAAAACTTTGCAACAAAAAGCGAAAACACCAAAGGTAATAATAACCCGTAATACACACACAATGTACTAACACCAGCAAACACTTACCACAAGACCTCTTGATTTTATATGTGCTGTACGATTTGGTTCATATATCAATGATGATGTATCATTTGTACGAAGCATGCGAGTTACCATCAAAGTGGATAGACCCTCAAATAATAACAGTAATAATAATAATAATAATAATAATAATAATAATAATAATAATAATAATAAGAGTAATTGGCTTATAAGTTTGGAAATAACTTCGTTACATATAAAAATGACAGTAAAATAGTATAGATGCATAATAGTGTTACAACCCTTTACGAACTATTCAAAATTAAATATTATAGCAGTAGTAAACGAAAAATTTAATGTAATAAATGTAAGATGTACAAATACCTAACTAGTAAATAGAAATAAAAGGTTCATTACCCACTTCAGCTGATGATCACTCAAGTTGACCTTGAAAATCAGCCATTCAGAGTACGAGATTAATTATGTCTCATTCGGCAATGCATGAACTGTTCAAAATTTAATAATGGGGGTTTAAAAAATTCTTTTATTTGTAAGATTAAGATCAACATTGCATTCCTCATCATTATAAAATTGCTCTACTGTATTGTCAGGAGTTATCGTAATTTATGGAAGTTGACTTAAAACTAATGAAATTCGTAGACAACCTATCACCAGTCATCGTTGTTTGTCAGTAAGAAATATGTATAATCAGAATTATCGTTTCAAAATTACTTCATTACTACATCTTTTGATGTATTATTTGATAAAGTGGTATAACAAGAAAAGATGCAGAGTAAGTACGAAGAATACAATTTGAGGTAGAGCGTAGACATACAATTTTAGCTTAGAATAATGTAATATCTAAATCATATCGGAGATGACGCATTTTACATAATAACTTGGATTAATGCTTATAAGATTTAGTATCAGAAGGGGTTTTTGTAGATATTATAGTAATTTTAATAGTTGCGATCATGAGTCAAGTGAAGCTAGACAACCATGGAAAACATAGAAGCACTGGACGGTTGTTTTGTCTCATTGTAGGACCCCTTAGCAGTGCGCATTCACGATCCCACCTCGCGAGATTCGAACCCAGAACCTATCGGTACCACACGCGAGCGCTTAACTTCTAGACCACTCAACCAGCATCCAGTGGTGTTAAAGTCTAACTTCAACTAATTCATAAAATTCAGCGACACATCCACAATCGTCTTCAGTGGGTTACTATCTCACAACAGACCCGGTTGAACTCCACTAGTCACCAAATTGAATATTATTCTGCAATAAGGGATAACACTCTTTTTAATTGAGCTTACTGATGAACATACGGAAGATAATTCAATTACAAATTTGACTAGGGAGTTATTTAAATAAAGTTAAAGCGTTAACCTGATGTTTATAGACATACAGAATAACTCAACTTCAGTTGTGTTTGATGAAGGACATTGTTAAATGATACATTTATGCTAAACACTTAATTACAAATCACGGAAGCTTGTTCATTATTTACCGAGTTTTGTATACAAACAAGGGCCATATCATTATGGACAACAACCAATTAAATTTCAAGTTTACAGAACAGGTTATTAGTCACTGAGATAAATTCGAAAGGTTTAAATTCTTTTCAAAGATTGTAATAATCATGTTGTCTCGAGTGATAAGGAAAGCTTCATGAAAACAGACAATTCAACTCAGGTGATACAATCCCTTTAAAAGAATGTACTTCTATCGATATAATTATAAAGGTCATATTGATGGCTTATCATTATTCGCTATTTTAGAATTCTTACTCTTTTCTAATTTTATTACATGTTTTTAATAATAGTTTTAGGCTGTACAAAATAACAACTTTGAAGAAATCTGTTTAAGCAGTAAACACAGTGATAGTGACACTGATGATTGGTAACAAAAAATCGATTAGGTTCAATGTTATTTGTCTGTAGGTAATCTAATAGAACATTAGACCACTGAGCCGGCATCCAACGGTGTTAATGTCTAACTTCAACCAATCCACGAAGTTGCGTCACCATATACCATTGTCTTCAGTGAGCTAATATCTCACAACAGACCTGGTTGTACTCCACTGGTAACGGCTTCCCACTAGAACTCCAGGAGTATCTCTTGAAGTCAGTCACTAGTGAGCAGATGATTATTATCAGAAAGGGTTTGTGGAGATTTTAGAAATTTTCACAGACTGAAATCATGAGTCAGTTGAAGCTAGACCACCATTGAAAACCTGGAAGCACTGGACGGCCGTCTCGTCCTAGTATGGCACTCCTCAGCAGTGCGCATCCACGATCCGGCATCACGCGTGGCTCGAACTCAGGACCTACTGGCTTCGCGCGCGAGCACTTAACCATTAGAACACTGAGCCGGCATCCAACGGACATCCTGTACAATTTGAATGACATATGTCTTGTTACTTGTCAATACAAGCTTAATATTTTAATAAATATAACAGTACTGACTAATTATATAACATAATTTACACATAGAAAAATAATACAAATTACTCAAAGTGAACACTCGATCTATTCACGATGAATAACGAATAAATATCTGTCAATCAATCAGTCAGCTACAACGTATGACTAGGCACATACATGCATCAATCCAAGTTGCCATAGTTCAGCAGAACTAGATGAACACCAAATTCATACATGTAGTTAATTTAATGGCGGCAATATATAAAAGAAAGATTGTATATAAGGATATAGTACAGGAACGAAGAATTAGTTTATAGAAAGAAAGATATGGAACGATTTTAATCTCATAGTTTAAGGGAAGATAGACAGTGTATACACCGACGCCATTGTGATCGATTCTAAGTCATATCACTCACAGTCTCTAACCATTGTTTATAATAGTCACATGGATCCAAACCAAGTAGCCTACATCTACCAACATGGCTAAGACTAGAAATTATTGTCACAAATAAATGTAAATTAATATATGTCTAGTTTCTTAATCAGAGTATATAAATTGGAAAAATATTTTTACAATAAGTAGAAATACATTCAGTATAAAGTTATTTCTTTATTATCTTAAATGTAAAGCATCTATATGTTTACTTAATACTGGAACTTCAGGAAAAAGGTAAATGGATAGTCAAAAAGAAAAAAAATAGATGGGTGACAGTAAAATGTAAAAGAAAACAGTCTGAAACGATATATACACATATATGTATACCAGTGTGGGTAGGAAGTGACATCTAAGGCATTTTTGTACAAAAGTTATATATATATATATATACATAGAAAGGGACTAATTGTAAAGAGATTGTGATGGAGTAATCTTTGTCTTATTTCTTTTTATTAAAAGAAATCATACAGTAATATTATAAATAAGTCACATAATGGTTGATAAACGGAATACAAACAGAATGTTTTTTTAAAAAATTCCAAGGACCCTTCGACAGTAAAGGGAGTTAATGAGTTTCTGCGTTATTTTGACAAAATATTTGTTGATTCAAAGAAAAACCCATAGAGATTCAACAAACAATGAAAAGTAAAAACAAGAAACACACATACTTACATACATACATACATACATACAATCATGTACGGACAAATAAGCCTAGTTAGTTACTCAGTAAAGCTTAAACGAGTCATATTACAAAATAACGAAAAGAAACTATTTTTTTAACAAAGACACATTTGAATTTGATAAAAATTAACCGAAAAAAAAGTGTCAGAGAGAGAGAGAGAGTGAGTGAGAGAAAGAAGAAGAAGAATATACAAGAAAATCAGTAATATATTAGATTGTCACTAAAAAAATGGTTTTTTTTGTTTTACCATTATCTAATTACATATTATATTGACTGTGTTTATTTTTTTGTCAGTATTTTCAATATGAGTAAAATATTTATGGAAATACAACTAAGATTTCTTGAATAAGCATCGTTTTGGATGAAAATGAGTAAATGCTTATTGTAAAATCTTTTGATCATTTATCCATTTATAATCAGAGAGGGGTTTTGTGGATATTATAGTAAGTTAATAGTTGAATTCATGAATCAATTGATGATAGATAATCATGGAAAACCTAGAAGCAGTGGACGGTCGTTTCGTTCTACTGCGGGACTCTACAGCAGTGCGCATTCACGATCCCACCTCTCGAGATTTTAACTCATAACCCATCAGTCTCACGCGTGTACGCTTAACGTCTAGACCACTGAGTTGGCCGGCATCCGACGGTGTTATTGTTTATTTTCAACCAATTCACGAAAATGTATCACCGTCTACTATAGTCTTCAGTGAGTCATTATCTCATAACAGACCCGAGTAAACTTCGCTGGTCACTGCTTCTCAGTTGAACTCCAGGAAATACCTCTTGAAGCTATTCACTAGTGAGCATATGACGATTATAAGCGCTCGCTCTCGAGGACGATAGGTTCTGGGTTCGAATCTTGCAGGGCTGGATCGTGCGTGCGATCTGCTGAAGAGTCCCACACTATGATGAAACAGTCGTTCAGTGCTTCCAAGTTTTCCGTAGTGGTCTAGCTTCAACTGGCTCGTGAATTCAGCTATTAAAACTATTATAATATCCATAAAATCCCTTAGTGATTATAATTATCTTCTGATTTAGAAACAGACTTATTAAGTATTCACATTTCAATAAAACAGCCATATTTATTTACGGAGCCTATTCATTGTTAAGAAAAATATTCAATATAATAAAAAGATTCCTCGATGATATTTGCTATTCTATAAAACATATCAGAGCTCAATGGCCTAAACAGATTTTTACCATAATGAATCATTATTTTTATGAAGATTAAAGATTTTTTAAAACAATTAAATGGAAGCTAACAACAATCAGAGGACTTGTGTTCCAAGGTTTTTTTTCACTATAGTGAGATGAATTTTATAAAAGGATATATCTGCAATCTTTGAGAAATAGATGACTAGTGTATAATTAAATTACTCGTGAACGAATCGAACTAAGACTAACCCTCTCTAAGACAAATTGTTGAGATATGTCAATAATCACAAAGACAATATCAGCCAAGGTTTACAGTTGACAGCTGCTCAATATTCATCACATTTGATCTAATAACAAGTCACTTAAACTGGTGATCATATTACGAATCCATCGATAAAAATTTGATCAATGCTAAATATAAAACGAACGAGACAAATACAACTACT